GAATAACAATAGCTTTTACTTGTCTGTTCTTTTTATATATTTTTTCTAATGCATTTCTTTTATTTATATACTTATTAAGCCAACTACTAAACTAAGAAAATTTTATATTCTAAATAAAATTACTAAAATAAGTTGAAATTTAATCATTAAGCTAAGTTATTCATATTTATGATATTTTTGATATAATTAACATTCTTCATTATCATTTAAAGATTTGTTCGCCTTTTCTAATATTTTTTAATGTTCTTTTATCTCTTTTCGATTTTTTCTTGTTTTATTTTATCAAAAGTTTCTTTAAGTTCTTTATAAGCTTGTTGCAATTCCCTAATTACTTGTTTTCTTTCTTCGGCTACTATTTTTGCTTGTCTAATATTCTAACTTCTTTTTTAAGAGATTTTATTTTTTTGTTATGGTCTTTAATTTTTGTTTGCGATTCTTCATAATTGTATTCCTTTTCTGTGAGTTTTTTGTTAAGGTTCGCATTTTCTTTCTTGGCAGCTTCAAGCTCTTTTTCATCTATTGAGAGTTTTTTGTCAAGGTTCATGATTTCTTTCTTGGCGGTTTCAAGCTCTTGTTTCTTTAGAGTGAATTTTTTGTCGAGATTTGCATTTTCTTTTTTGGCAGATTCAAGCTCTTGTTCTTTTATTGAAAGTTTTTTGTCAAGGTTGGCATTTTCTCTATTGGTAGTTTCAAGCTCTTGTTCCTTTAATGAGAGTTTTTTGTCAAGGTTCACATTTTCTTTATTGGCAGTTGCAAGCTCTTGTTTATTTAGTGTGAGTTTTTTGTCAAGGTTCGTATTTTCTTTCGTGGCAGTTTTAAGTTCTTTTTTGGTATTCTTATGATTAATTTCAAGGTCTTTAAGATTCTTCACAAGAACTCCATATTCAATCTTGAGCTCTTCATATGCCTTTTCTGTTGTTTGATATATATTGGATTTTCTAATCTATATAATATATTAATTAGAATAATCATTAAAAAATCCTAAAAATATAAAAAGTACTTACTTGTTCAGAAAAAGTATTACTAAATTTTTGGACCAGTGTTTTAAATAACTATATAATAATATATAAATAATTTTATTAAATATCAAATTTTATTATATAATTTACTTACGTATTTCTAGTTGCTATTAATTGTGTTAATATTATTTTGCCAGATTCGATCTTTATTCTATCAAAATAATAAATAATAATTTTTTAATAAAAATTTTAAAGGTACGAATTAACAAAGCTAATTAATGTTAATTACCATTACAAGAAGGATGCTAAATACAGTTAATGCAGCAATTATTGCTAAAAGATGATGGTTTTTTTTCAGCATATTTTTCCAATTCTGATTATCTTCAGTATTTATATTAATATTAATATTTTGTCATTGTAGCTGGATATTATCCAGTACCTTCGAACGCACAGTTGATTGGTCTGTTGAAACTAACTCATGATCTGAAGTTTGTGCTTGAAAATTCAATGTGACATCTTTTGATAGCGTCAGTTCTCAATTTCCATTCAATATGACTAAATTTTGGTCATTTAAATTTTGGTTATCTAAATCTAGTCTATCTGATTCTTGTTGTAGGATGGGTATTTTGTTAAGCGGATCTTGAGCTGAAGTTGAAGGATAATCTTTTGATAGCGCTAGTTCATCTTCATCGGATTTACCTAAATAGATCACACTAATAAATATAGCTCAAAATTATAAAATATCTATACGTATATACCTTTATTAGAATTTTTTACACGATTTCTCTCTATTGGTAAAAGAGAATATAATTAAAAAAAGTTATCTCGATAAATAAATTATTCAAAAAAAAGAAAAAAAAGTACTAGTATATTGTCGAACGGCCGTAAAAAAATAATCTCTATTATAACCATCTCTAAAATTATTTTTAAATTCACTTTTTTTTTGATCATTAATTTTTCGTATTTCAATATGAAATATAAGTATTTGATTTGAAAAAGGTTCTTTTAGATTATATTCATCTTTAAGTTTATTAGTAAAATATTGTTGATAATAGCTGTAATCATCTTCTGCTAAAGTAACATTCAGTATTTCTGAACTTACAATTTTAGATTTAATTTTTTTTTATAAATTGGTTTAGGAGCCATTAGGATGAAAGTCAGAAATTCAGATTATTTTATAAAATTACCAAGATCGAGCAGTCAGTTATCTATTTTATATTATAAGAGGTCAGTCAAAAGGTTTGATAGTTTTGACGGAATTACATGTATAATTAAATGATAAAAGTACGTGTTTTGGCAATTTAAAGATAAAACAACATCACGTGTGTATGAACTGCTATAATTAGTCAGTCAATAGACTTGCTAGTATAAAAATTATATTGCACGAACTTCAAAAGAGATGAACTTCCATGATGCTACAGTCAATAAACTTGCTAGTTTTGACAAAATTACATGTGTTATAAACTTTTCAAGCTTTAGAATCCTTTAGAATTGCATGTTTTAATCAAAATATCTATCTTTGAATTATGTGATATCAAATGAATTTTTGCATAATGTGACCAGTAAAATTGCTCCAATTTTATTATATATATATATATATATAGCATGTTCTAAAAATTTTAGAATATAAGTTATCAGTTTAATAATTTAAGTTTAAACTGATATAGAATATTTACTTTTTCAATTATCTCTTTTGAATTATATAATATCAGTATAAAAGAATGTATAATTTTCTACTATATAGAAATTGATATTTTTTATATATAGCATATTCTAAAATTTTAGTTTATTATCAAAAATCTATTTAAAGTTTGCAATATAAATTTTAAGTAATATAAAATTATAGCTCGATATATTAAGTACAAATAATCAGGAAATTCGTTTTTTCTGAAGATATTACTTTTTTATATATTTTTTAAGTCATTATAATATATATTATAATTATTGCATAATTTTTATTTACTTTATCGATAACAGTTTTTGAATCAAGAAAACTAGATTAAATGTAGATTTTTTAACAGTATATTAGCTAAATGATAAATTTACTTAATGTAAAAATATTGGTAGCTTCATAAATAATATAAGTCTAACTAATGATGGTTTTTTTTTTATTACTCCATTTGGCTATTAATATTTTGAAAGTATTGAGCTTAAAGCTCGTCAGATATTTAAACACAAGTTGATTAATCGTTGCTTAACAAGATCTGTTATCTTTTAAAATTTTTAAAAATTTAAAATCTTTAGATAAAATAAAATATTTTATGAAAATTATTTTGCAAGTTTTATAGTTGAAGGGTGTAAATTTTATATTCATATCTATTTTCTTTTTCAATATCTGTATTCGTTACTGGCAGATTTGGTTAAAAAAATGCCGTACAAAAATTTAATTAGACTCGATAAATATGGTATGCATTTATTTATGTTAATTGATATTCGTGATCACTAATGTTAATCTTTGTAGAGGTTACCTATGAAGAATGTATGATGCTTGTTGATTTCTACATGGAAGAGCAGCACCCGGAGTGGGTGAATGCAAGAACTTTAGAACTTTTCAAATTTTTTAACCTTCCTTCTACGCTTCCGGGATGGCGAGAACAACAACGACAATGAGAGCAACAACAACGAGAGCAACAACAACAGCAACAACAACAGCAGCAGTACCACCAACAATACTACCAACAACAACAACTACAACAATGACAACAATTAGAACAATACAAAAAAGAATTAACAAATTTAAGATTTGAAAAAGATGAGATAGTAAAAAAAATAAAAAACATAGATGACATGCTTCGAAAACCATATTCTGATTCTTCAGAATTTATATTATTGTATGAAGCTAGAAACGGTTATTTAACAAATAAACGAAATATAATAAATAAGCGAATGAAGATTGTAGACGATCGTATAAAAGCTATAAATGAAAAATATGAAATGATATTGAACAATTTACAAATATATCAGATCTTTGATTTGTTAGAAAAACATGAATCAGAATATAATATATATTTTAAAGTAGGAACTACTTTTAAATGTTTAAAATGTGCTTTTCGTTCTCATTCCGATTGTTTGATGAGTTGATATGATGTTTGTTACATGTTACGATATCCAGGTTGTAGATTAGTTTTGTAAATTTTTTATTTGTAAATATTAAATAAGCTATTTTAATTAGTATCGATATATAACCTGTGCATTTTACTTATACTATTAATGTATATAGAGTTTATTGTATATTTCATTATTTAAATTTTTTTTTAAAATAAGAATAAAGCAAGTTGATATTTGTTATAATTATGTGTCACATAAATGTTTATAATGAATAATCTCTGATTAAAAATTTCAACAAAATTAAAATGTCCTCAGAGTGGTAAGTGGAAAATTTAAGATTGAAGAATGAACTCAAAAACGTGTATGATATGGTAAAAAATCTCTGGTCGCATGTTGGGATGTGTTACATAAATTACAATATAATTTCAAACAAAATCAGAATTAAATTTTAATTTCAAGCAAAATTAGATATAATTTCTGTATAACTTTAGGCAAAATTAAAATAATTTCAAGCAAAATTAAATATAATTCTAGGAATAGCTCCAGGCAAAATCAAATTATAAATTCAAGCATAATCTCAGGCTAAATTATGCATAACTTCTGTAAAATCAATTCCGAACAAAACTATAACTCCAGGAAAAATCAAAATATAATTCCAGGCAAAATTAAGCCTGAAAAGTTTATCATACATGAGATTTCATCAAAACTTTTGACAGACATTCACAAATCAAAGAGAGGAATTCAATAAAAATACAAGCTTAATTATAATAAAGAAATCAATACATAATAAAATCAAAGTATCAAAAATAATCTAATTTTTCATACTGTAAAAATAATTATCAATATTCTAAATTTGTGAATTTGTTAGTATCATGTGATATCTTACTTCGTAATATCTAATGAAGTTTTACTTCTTTGTATTTCAAATCTACTGCCAAGATTAGTAAATAAACTTCTTAATTCACTATCGTCGTGTGTTATTTATTTCAAATGTAATGTCAAAAGTTTTAACGAAATCTCATGTATGATAAACTTTTTAGGCTTTAGAATCACTATTATAAAGTCATATCTGATTATCTTTCTCGCATGAATCTTTATTTTGTTTGCATGATGCTCTAAAAAAAAGTCGAAAATTCGAACGGGTTATAATAATTGACTAAGAGATTATCTCTTTTAAATTATATAATATCAGTATAAATGAATATATAATTTTCTACTATATAGAAGATTACATAATTATACCTTTTTGATATTTTTTATATGTAGCATATTCTAAAAATTTTAGTTTATTTAATATCAAAAATCTATTTAAAGTTTATACTATATGTAGTATAAATTTTATGTAATGTAAAATTATATTAATGACATATATTATATTTAAATTAACATTATTAACCTGTTCTATTGTAATTTCCTGCAGTACAAAAAATCAAGCCAAATAAAGTTGCAGATCTTATTTGCAAAAGATGAAGCGTATAAAAAAATCATTGTTATCGTGTATTTTGCCAAATTTGAAACTAATATAAAAATTAAGTTAAAATTATAAAAATTAGCGTTAGTATGAGAATTTTAGAAAAACTGGTTTTTTGGCTTTACTTATATCAGATATCAAGATAAATAATATTTGTAGCATATTCTAAAAATTTTAATTTATTTGAAATTTTACTTTAAATTATGGGGTAATTCAATGAAACATACAAAATCACTCAATTAAATTACTATAAATAATGTGATGTTAAGCCCTTACTTTTCTTATCTATCAAACAAACTTAAGAATATATACTAAGAAAGTTTTTTTATATTATTTCATTATATTTTTATACTGCCGAATATTCACTTTATATATTCATTTCTTAGAGAAAAATTTGATTCATAACTTCAGCAATTGATTCCTATCAAATCAGATCTGTCAGGTATCTGTGTCAGAATATCCAACCTCAGCAATTTGATCTTCAACAAGATTAAATTTGTTAAATATCTGTGTCGGAATGTTATCAACTTAGGAAAATAATAAAAACCACGCTGATGATTGTTTATTAAAAGTGATTGCAATTAATATTTAAGCAATTACACAAATATTCTGAGCAGTTACTTTCAAAAAAAATGTCTCCAAGAAATTCAAGACAAAAAGAAACAAAAAATACAACTAAATCCTTGGCTCTAAAGAAATCCGTGGCATACCAAGAGAAGATGAATCTATTAAAAGTCGAATTGAATAGTTTACTAAGTTGAAAGAATTTACTGAGACTTCGAGTGCTGATAATCTTTCATTATTTGAAAATATTTATTTAAATTTCGAAGCTAAAAAAAAGGAAAGTGATGCTGTAATTACAAGGTGATTATTTTTATTATATATAAATAAAATTATTTAACTTTATTAATATTAAAATTTTTTCCAGTTTATGTCAAGAAACTGACTAACTTCGAACAGAACTTAGTAAATCTAAGAATAACCTTGAGCAATTTAGAAAAGAAAATGAAGAGCACAAACGATACTATGAACAAACTCAACAAACCATATTTTCTGAGTATCTTTCAACAATTGAATATTTACAAAACAGGGTTGATCAATTAGAATTATATTTAGGTATTGGTACAAGCAATTATATAGTTAAGAATGAGAGTTCAGATAAGAGTTCAAAATCTGGTGATAAAATGGGCGGTATATTTTATTAGACATCAATATTGGTTTTTATTCACTTTGTACAAAGATATAGTAAATTTATTTTATTTTCACTTTATTTGTGATTCAAATTAATAAAAAATTACATGAATAACAAATAAAATTATTCAAAGACTTTGATATTAATATTATAGTAAAAATTGAAAAAAATTAAATGAAATTATTTAAAGTATAATTATACCTACTTTTCTTACCATATATATCTCTTTTGACTTTAAATTTTTATTCTTTTGCTTTATCTAACCTAGTAGAATATAGGAGAACTTTCCCATGATTGGCCAATCACATGAAATTGATGATAACTTATAATTGGCTAATCATTCAGCTCATTTACTGCGACATTCGTTTTATTTACTGACTCTTCATAATATATTTCATGAATAAATTCATTTTTGGTTAAATATTCATTTAACAATTCTTGGGTGGGTTCAGTTTTTGACAAATTGATAATTAAATAGCAAATAAATAAAATATTGTAAGACAATATTGAAGAAATCCATTTTGCAACTTACTTATTTTTGTGAAATGCGATTTTGCGTAGTCTAAAGGTACTTCTAACAATTTTTAAATAAATTCATCCAAATCTAAATACCGCATAACTAATTCTCGTGCATAATGATTCAAAAAAAATAAAAAAGCTAGAAAAATTTTTTACATTTACTCGAGACCTAATTTTTGCAAATGTGCATGCATCGGGAGCTGCAACTTTTGCTTCTTCAGTTGTGGCTATGACCTCTGTTGCTGCTTCTTCTTTCGCAGCTATGAGCTCTGTTGCTGCTTCTTCCGATATTCCTGATTCTGAGTATATTGGTGATAAGGCTGACTCAACAAATAACCCACCAGAACAAATAACTAAAACAACAAGTAACCAGCCATTACTAGTTATTGATGTAGATTGAGCTACAGGAACGACCGTCAATGTTACATGACTGATTTTTTACACAGTGTGAAACACATAAAAAAATTATTTTACAATACTTGATTGGACTTGATCAGTCAGTTAGTACATGTTATGATTATAATCTCACACCATTTTTTATTATAAAAAAATAGTGTGGGATTATGATCATAATATGTACTAACTGACTGATCAAGTCCGATCAAGTATTGTAAAATAATTTTTTTATGTGTTACACACCATGTGAAAAATCAGTCATGTAACATTGACAGTCGCTCCTGTTAGATTGAGCAGCAAGTGATGAGAAGGAATCAATTGATACAACATGGCTGCTTGTTGAATTCTCAGAACAATGCATCGAAGAAAGTACCAAAAAAAGTTCTAAAGAGAGTTCAAACGAGCATGAAAAAAGAAAAGGAGGAATAATATTCAAAAACTGTACAGTAATTTCAATTTCAAAAAATTAAGAATAAAATTTTGAACTAAGATTTATTTGTACTAGTTTCATTTTCTGAAGGCCTCTAGTTGCTGTCAGAGAATGAAATATAAAAGGTAGTTTCATATTATGAATTTGGGCAAAATTGAGGCTTAATTTGGGTCTGTTGACTATTCTGGCAAGTTCTTTGTTCATTAATAATCAAAGCTCGAATTTTGTCTTCAAAAAGTAAAATTTTTGAAAGCAAAACTAATTGCTGCAGGACTAGCTTTTTTCAATTTTATTATATAGGGTTAGATAAATATTTTTTTTTGAATTTATTTGAATTTTTTTATTTCATTAAAATTGAATTAAATCAAAGAAATACAAACATTTAAGGAGCCGATAAAGAAATATCTAAATTTTTTGCAAATATATTTTCTCTATTTAAAATAATTAAACAATTTGAATCGAAAAAAATAAATCAACTAAATAATAGTTTATACTAACTCAATAATAAAAAGCTCAAAAGAGAATTGCTTTTGAAATTCTCACTAATCTAGGTTCAAACATATTCATGTCAAATATTAGTTTACATAAATAATGAAGAATGCTTTTGGTAAAGTGCATTCATTGTTAATTTTCTTGAAAATATATAAAAAAATGATAAAAATAATAAAGAAACAAATTAAATATAAATGAAAGAGTAAAAGGCTATATATAAAATTTATCTTGAGCATTAGTAAAAAGAACATCAAGAGCATTGATTTTGTCATCAATTTTTTTTAATTCATTCATGGTCAATGAATCTTCTGAAGGAATTGTGGCAAAATTAAAATAGTTAACATTGTTTTTGAAAACTTCAAGTTCAAATGTTGGTGATTCACTGGCCAAAAAATCTTCAGAAGAATCAGAAATAATTGTGTCTATACAAAATTAAATAATTAGTGTCTCTCTCACTATTAAATTTTAATTCTAAATTCTTACCTTGAGAAAAAAATAAGGTATCTTTATTTAAAGAATTGGGTAATAAATATTCATTTTTCAGTGATGACTAAAAAGAAATTGGATATAAAGTATTATAGTAAATTTCTTTTTGATTGGATAGAAAGTATTTTCTTGATTCAAATGACATTTTTATTTGTTTTATGTGATTAAAAAGAAGATAAAATTTAAGTATTTTATAATATGACTCATGGGGCACCAATTAGAAAGAACCACTTGCAAATCCCGAGTATGGTGTTCATCTGGTGTGATGGTGGGACTGATAAAGGAATGCAAACCATACGATCGGTGCAAACATACAATAAGACCATATAAGGGTAATCTTCTATACATATAGAGTAGGACTATTGTATAGTTACACTAATCAAATACAAACACATGTACACAAACACAAAATAAACACTATATAGACAATTAAAGTTCTTCTGTAAAAC